TTTTCGGTTTTTTTTTTTTTTTTTTTTTTTTTTTTTTTTTTTTTTTTTTTAAAAATGACCAATGATGTTAATAAATAAAGTATTTATATATACATAAAACTGGGGAAGTGGTTCCAGGGTGTGCGGCAGCAGCAGCCAGGGCAGCGCGAACGAGGTGTAGACACACACTGGGCTGGGCCTCTGTAGAAAATCACTGAACCTTAGAAAAAGTCTCCTTTTGTGGGTTTTTAAAATTTTTTTTTTAAGTTGAGGTAAAAGTTTCAGTGCTCGGAAACCTGCACACTGGGCCCACAGTCACTCCGCTCCTCCCAGGGCTCCCAATGCCACCACTGTGGGCAGCGGAGCCTGGCACCCGTCTCCCGCCCACCGTGGCGCTCACGGCACGCGGCCCAGGTGGCAGAGGCTCCCGGTGCGGAGCACCCAGTCAGAGGGACTCCTCCAGGGCAGGGCAGGTGGGCCAAGCACGGGCACCGAGGGTCCTCTGGTGTCAGCGCGGCTGTGTCTCCAGGGAAGTGACCGCAAGCGTGCGGCAGGAAGGGCAGACATGACCTACTGGAGCACAACCGGAGACACCGTAACACTGAAGTAAAGGAAACCTGCACACCATGGAACGGAAGGAGTATATTGACCACAGGAGGGGACACTCGGCCTCGGAGCGTGTGACGTCCATCTGTCCTCTGGCCGTGCTCGGTCACTCAGAGTCACTGCTGTCAGAGCTGGACCCGCTCGAGCTGCTGCTCCCCGACTCTGAGGAGCTGCTGCTGCTCAGCCGTGATGGCCCCCCTGAGGGCGCCGAGCTGGCCTTCTCTGCAGGGACACCGGTGGACAGGCGCTCACCACCCGCTCCCTCGCTGGGCCAGCATCCCCTGCCCGGGGGCTTAGGGAGAGCGGCCAGTGCGGTCTGCTCATCCCGGGACACTGGGGCAGGAGGCCCAGCTTGAGCAACTTACGAGACATTGTCTCAAATACAAAATAAAAAAGCTTAGGCCACACAGGCTAGGGACCCCGAGGGCACACAGCCCTGGGCTCTGCAAACCCCACCTAGATGCCAGCAGCCCACTCTTGAGGGGCCAGGGGACAAACCGTCCTCAGAGAAAGGTGGTGTGGACCAAGCCACTCACCCAGATGCAGGGCCCAGTGAAGGCCAGGCCAGGTCACTGGCTGGGGGTAAGGGTGCTCAGCCAGGGTCTGGGAGGAAGCCAGGGTGGGCTGCTGCACACCCAGGAGCCCGGCGGACTGGGGCATGGAGCCTCAGAGCCGCAGCTGAGAAGAGGGCAGCCGAGTGAACGCACACCCTCAGGCGGCTCAGCAGGGGCCACACCCCAGACGGGCACGGGCCGCGTACCTTTCTTGGTGGGCTTCTTGCTGTTCAGCTGCCCGCTCACGTCCTGCAGCCGCTTCTCCAGCTCCTTCTTCTTTTCCTGAGCAAGCTCCTCCTTCGACTTGGCCGCCTGCTTCTTCCCGCTTGTTGCTGTTGGGGACAGGAACAGGACTGGGTGGCTGGGGCCCAGCCCTGCAGGCTGCTGGGCAGGGCCCAGCTGGGATAAAAGAACTACGGCAGCTCCTGGCCCTCGCCACAAGCAGTCTGAGAATCTGGACCCAGCTAGTCCCCTCCGAGGTGTCTTCCCAATAGTCAAGGACATCATGTCACAGGGACCCATGCATGTCCATGTTCACAGCAGCACAGCTGACAGCAGCCAACCCTGGGCATGGCCGACACGTCTGCCAGCAGGCGAACAGACGAGGAAAATGTGGCGTTTACACACCATGGAGCGCTGCTCTGCCCTAAAGGAGGGTAAATCTGAGTCCTGTGGAAAATGGGTGCACCTTGAGACCACAATGCCAGTGAAATAAATCAGACGCACAAGCTTAGATGTCACACGGTTTCTTTTCTATGAGAAACCCAAATTATAAATAGAGAGCAAAATAACAGATAATAGAAAATCGGAAGAGTGATCTTTCTCGAAGGGAATCAAGATGGAGGCAGGAGGAGAGGATGAAGCAGGAACCCAGAAGGGTTCTGTACAAGGACCGGCTTCACACCAGGAATGGGATCACTGTCCTGCAAACCACCAGGGCCGCCCGTCCCTACCCAGCCGCTGCTCCCCGTCCCCATGGGAGGCAGCAGAGCCAGGTGCGCAGCACCTGAGGGATCAGAGTCGAGCACTGGGGAAACGAGGCTGCCCCGTCCTGGGTGGGAGGGCAGGGCAGGGCCTCGGGTGCCAGCCCTGAACAGTCAGGCCGCCGTGGGCTCCTCGCGTGCCCTCCCCTCCAGGCCCGGCTCTGTCCCCATCCCGGAGGGTGGTGGACGCCTGGCCCCCATGGCCCCCATGGGGGGCCAGGCACAGAATGATGGCCCTACAGGGCCCCCAGGCGACTTACAGAAGGGCTTCCGCTGCTTCTTCTGCAGGCACGACTTGACGTAGCGCTCCAGCTCCCGCAGCGTGGTGGGCTTCAGGGTCTCAAAGTCGATCTCGATCTCATCGGGGTTGGAGTCCCGCAGCGATGGCTCCCGAGACTGGATGATGTGCACCACACGGCCCAGTTTCTCCCCCGGCAGCCGGTTGATGTCCAGGCTGAGCTGCCTCTTCTCGTCATAGCTCATAGGCAGGCCGCCCTCCTCCTCCTCGGAGTCGTAGGAGGCTGATGCCTGCTTGCCGCCCTTCTTCAACTGTCTGCGGCAGAGACAGAGCAGCGTGGCGTCGCCTGGTCCGCTGCCACCTGCCCAGCCTCCCCGCCTCGGCTGCTCTGGGGAGGGGACCACGTGGGGACCTCACTCTGCGCCGCTCACAAAGGCTGATCCTGGCCCTGGTCCTGGTCGGGAGCCCCCAACTCAGCTGGTCAAAGCAGGTCTCCATGGCCCAGTAAACCCAGAGTGGGAGGCAGAGGGTGGGGTGCGGAAACGGACACGGAAAGAGCACATCAACACCGCCACTGATAAAACCCACAGGAAGAGACAGTCCCGCCGGAAAGAGCCAAGACACAACTCACCTGCTACCTGCAGCGCCACTTTGACCACAGCGACAGAGCAGGCTCAAGGGAGAGGAAGGGATGCACCTCAAAGACACCCGCTGGGATTTAGCACAGAGGCACAGCACCTGCTTTGCAAGGTCCTGAGTTCAATCCCTGGTACCACAGCCTCAGAGAAGGGAAGCACCAGAAAAGCGAGGGAGTATCAGGCCAGAGATGACGGGAACAACTGTGAGGCCTCAAGGTGGGTGCAGCTAAGTCCAGCTTTGGGACACAGCAAAAGCTGAGAGAATGAGAGAAGCCAGGAAAACCCCCATCACACCAACTCCAGAGCTCCCCTAGCAACTCAGACGGTGGGTGCCTGGGCAGGAATGAGCGCCTGACCATGCCTCAGCCAGCTCAGTCCACAGGTGCCTCGGCCTGGGGCTCTTCAGAGTCTTTCCCTCAAGGGACATTTATAGAACACTCAGCACAAAACAACAGAAAACAATTTTAATTTTTACTTTACTTTCTGCAGTGCTAGAGACAGAATCCAAGGGCACTGTACTGTGGAGCTACATCCTAGCCCTAGCCTCTCTTGATTTTGAGACAGGGTCTCACTAAGTTGTCCAGGTAAGATGTGAAGCTGTGATCCTCCTGCCTCAGCTTCCGTCTGTGCTGGGATTACAGGGTATGCACTCAAGTGGGGTATGTTTTAGGCTGTGAAATAAACCTTAAAAAATGTAAAAGTTATCAGAATCCTACAAAGTATAGTCTCTGACCCTAATGGAATCGAACTAGAAAGCAATAAGCAGAACAGAGCTGCAAAAACCCCAAATGTTTGGAAATCTGACAACACAATTTCAAGTAACTCCTTGGTCAAAGGGGAAAAAGTCTGAAGACAGGTCCCAGGACAGTGTGAGCCGAAGGGACACAACGCATCATGCCGTTACAACCTGTGGGCCGCGGCCGGACTGGGGCGCTGGGCTGGAGGCAGCGAAGGTGGCCCCAGCAGTAACCAAGCTTCCACCTCAGGCAGCTGAAAGGGGCAAACACGGGAACAGGAAAGACCAGAAATGCATGGAATCCTGTGTTGGTTCTCTGAAAATCAATACAGTGGGTGAATCTCTGTCCTGACTCATCAGCAAAGATATGACTTCCCCACGGCAGGAAGGAGAGGAAGTACTGTCACCAGGGCCAGGCAGACGCCCCAAGTCTCGACCATGTCACAGTGGGAGATGCTCGGCCCCGAAATCACCAATGGAGAAACCGAGGAATCAAGTTGGCCAAGAAAGTAAAGCCAGTAACATGAACATAACCGAGTTCACGTTCGTGATTATAAACCCATCCACACTCACACTTCAGCCCCACGTGGTTTTGCTGGTGAATTCTACCAAGCATTTCCGAACGCCAGTTCTATAAATGCACACCGAAACACAGAAGGGAGCCTCGCGTTGCTCAGCTGTCCCTGGTCACTATACAACTCTTCCTCTCTCCACGTCTGAGGCCTGCACTGTCCTGACTCCCAAACTGGACAGAGAGAGTTTAAGGAAAAGTGACTTCTGCATTGCCTCCAAAGGGAAAGGAGGAAAAGAAGGGAAGAGATGACAGAGGAAGGAACACACAGCTACCAACACCAACCCCAGGATGTCACATGTCCCCTGCGCCCACATCCAGCACTATGGCTGTCTCCCTGGCCCACACAGCCACCGAGGAGCGTCCCCTGTCCTACCACTGCCTCCTGTGGCCCCATCCTCCACAGCTGCCTTCCCTTGCTCAGAGAACACCCACCACCGCCGCAAAGCCGGTCAACCTCGACAGCCACCGCTCACACGGCCTCCTCGGCTGCTCTGAGAACGCCAGAGCCGCCTCTGTCCTGACCCCCGAAAGGAAAGAGCCTGCGGGCTGCGCCACCTCCCCTGGCCAGGACAGAGTCCTCCCTACTGCCACTAGCCCCGCCACCCCTGCCTCCCCCGTGCTCCTCAGGGCAGGCCACAGCCATGGGAGGAGCTGAACCGGAAGGCCCGGTGCCAAGGACAGGGCCAGGGGTCCCGGCTCCCCCCACATCAGGAAAGGTCCCGGACAGCAGCAGAGAAAGGTCTCCTATCAGCTCCATCTCCAGCACCCCTGGACCCCACACCCAGAGGCAGCACCCGGAAGGCCCTGTGCCACACCTGCCGGCCACCGTGGTGCTATTGGCCTTCTTGGCCGGGGCCTTCTTCTGCTGGGCCTGCTTGGCGGGTGGGGCCACCTTGGCCTTCTTCTCCTCCTCAGACTTGGCCTTGTGCTTCTCCTTGTCCTTTTCCTTGTCCTTGTCCTTTTTCTTCTTCTCTTTCTCCTTCTTCTCCTTCTTCTTCTTTGGTTTGTTCACTGGGGCCTGAGACAGGGCGGCCAGCTGCTCGTGCACGGCTTTCAGCTGGAAGAGAGGGCAGCTGAGCAGGCTCCCAGGCGCCACCCTGCCCTGGGGATGGGGATGGAGCCACCTCGCAGCAGCTCTGCCCCTTCCGAGCCTCGGGGCCCTCACTGATGAGGCCACTGGCACCCTCCTCCCAGGTGACAGACTGGGCACAGGAGGTGCTGTGACGCTGGCTACCCTTTTTACTGCACTTTTCTGGTAAGCAGCCAGAGGCTTAAGGACCCGCACAAGGGAGATTCAACAGCCACTTCTGGGCACTGCAGGGCAAGGCTGCAGGACCAAGTGAGCGGGGGCAGAAGCTCACCTCTTCCCAGCGCCGGACCTGCCAGTGGTACAGCGCTACAGGATTTGCATACTGTTCCTGTAGTAGCTGCCTCCCGGTAGAGACAGCCAGCACAGACCCAGAGAGCAGGCAGACCGACAGCCTGTCCCAGCCCCCAGGCTTTCTGGAAGGTGCACAGCAGAGGACCTTGGCAGCCCTGTGGCCAGACCCAAATGTCCAGTCAGCCCCAGTGACGCTGCTCAGGCCCAGCCTACCAGGAGCCTCCTTCCCAATCTGAGCCCCACTGGTCTCCTCCTGACTTGGTGGCTCTGTGCTGTCCCCTCCCTGCCAGAAGCCCCAGAACTGTACACCCTGGTGGCTGCCAGGGGCAGGAAAGGCAAGCTGGGTCTCTTGATTTACCCATTAGACAGGTAAAGAGATGGTGCAGATGGAGAGTAATTCCAAGCAGCACATGAGCTCCCCTGGGAAGCCCTGGCTCTGAGGAACACGCTTAGGGGCTCTCACCTGCTCCTGCAGCTCGGCCAGCCGCGTAGCGCGCTCCTCCTCCGAGTCTGAGCTGCCGGAGTCTGACGAACTCTCCTCGCTGCTGCGGCTGCTCTCGGTGCCCTTGCTCACCACGGGGGCTGCGGGCGCGGGCAGTGCAGGTGCCTCCACGGGCTCATCTGGCATCTTGGCAAACCGCATCTCAAACACGTCCTGGGGAGCGACAGGGGCTGCTGTGAGGAGCGGCACACGGGCAGCACCTCAGCAGGCAGTGTGGGCCCAGGAAGTCCTGGAAGCGTCCCAACGGCTCCACACAAGCTCCAGCCCTGGAGACCAGGCCAGCCCACCCAGGCACTGGCCGGGTTACATCACAGGCTTTCTGTGGGAGACTGGCATCCCTGTGCGGGCACCAGTCTGCCCCAGGAGTGCGCCTCCGGCGGGGCCCGGACACTTGGCTCTGGAAGCCTCTCACCTTCCCTAGGTCCAATGCAGTGTGCCCTCCTGCAGGTGATCCCCAAAGTCAGCTCAAAGGCCAGTCCTGTCCTGCAAACCACCTCTAAGAACTGAAGGTGCACTGACACCCGCAGGGCTCCATGCTCCATTCCCCAAGTCTCTGGAAAGCCCCCCTTGGGGGACATCCCTGTCCCCAGGTTTACAGAATGCACATGCATGGCCATGAGGAAACAAGGGGCCTTGCCAGCCCCCATCCACGCCGTGCCACACCACACCACCAGACTGGAGGCGGCTTCCCACAGACCCGGCTCTGGGCTCCCAGATCTGCTGCTGGGGCAAAGACCCCCTGGAGGTGCTGACCCTCAGAGCCCTGGCCCAGGAAGACATGCGGGCAGGTGGTTTTGGTGCTGGGGTCCAGCCCATAGCCCAATTCACAGAGCTAATAGTGAAGCTGGGTGTGGTGCACACCCACAACGCCAGCATTCCAGCGGCCTGGGCCACTTAGGAACTTAGCAGGACCCTGTCATTAAACAATAAAGGGCTGGGGAGGCAGCTCAATGAGTACCCAGGCACTGGCCGGGCCACGTCATAGGCGTTCCATGGGAGGTTGGCATCCCTGTGTGGGCACCACACCTGGGTCCAAGCACAGTGGGCAAGTTCTTGGAGAAAGATGGGGCATCCTAGGCCTTCCGCTGTCCTGGAAGGCCCTTGTGGGGGGACCGTGTGCAGCAAGGAGGAAGAGGGTCATCAGCAGGACCTGGTATTTGTCCTGGTTTTGATGATATGGACAACCCGCAGAGTCCACAGAACAAGGGTGAGCAAGGGACTAAGGAGCTGAGAATATCTCACGGGATGTAGACACTCCTGATTGGGTTTGTGTTGTCATTACTGGGGACTCAACTCAAGGTCCCTGCACTGAACTACAGCCCCAGTCCTAGCACTTTTATTTATTTAGTTTTGTTTGTTTTTTGAGAGAGGGTCTTGCTGAGTCACTAGGTTACCCAGGCTAGGCTTGAACTTGTGAACCTCCTGCCTCAGCCTCCCACAGTACTATAATTACAGATATGGGCCACCACGCCCAACTAAAACCCATGACTCTTATTTTTTCTTCTAAAAGGAAAATCTTTTAGCTGCATAACCTCTGGAGTGTGAGGAAACACCTTGTAACATCACTTTCCAGAGATCAATGAGGTGCTGGTGTCCTGAGCTGCACAGAAACCCATGAGCAGCACCAGATGTCAGCAGCAAAGCACACGTGTGCCTGAGTGGAGCCCCCAAATTCCCAGTGCCTGTCCTCCCAACACAACCTGGCCCTCCTGTGTTTTCCCCAACGCAGCTTCCTTCTGCTGTCATCAAACACAACAGGGAAGCCTTGGAGGACTCTGACGTCCCAACTGGGGTTCACACTGGTGGTCACCAGGCCCTGCCCGCTCGCTACGACATAACCCGGCCAGGATGGCTCGCTGGCCACATCCCCACGCCAGCTTGTGACCAGCAGGCCTGGGCACCAGCTTGGAGCCTGGCAGCCTCTCACCACCAGGGCCAAGAGGCTACATGAATGACACCCACGTCCCTCCCTCCTGGATGCCTCCACATCTCTTGGGCCTCAATGCCCAAAGTGCCAACCTCAGCTGCTACGGTACCCATGCCCACTCTGGTTACCTGGAGCTTCCTGGCCATGGCCACCACTTCGTGGTCGGGAGGATTGTACTTGTAACAGTTTGAGAACATTAACCGGATGTCAGCGGCGAAGCCCTGTGCGTCCGGGTACTCGCGGCTGTCCATCTTCCTCTGTAACACACAAAGACAGGGCGTAAGTGGGCCCCCAGGGGCCCTCAGGACAGCCACCGCCAGCCCGGGCACCCCACCTCTCTCCGGCCTCAGCTGTGGGAGCCTAAAGGGAAGGGACAGAGGTAACTCAACACCTTGGAAAGTTGTCTGAGATCCAGGGACAGAGCCACCAGAAGAAAAAAGGCAATCAGGGAGACAGCCTAGTTCCTGTGGCCACCACACGATCCCTTCCCTCATGAAACATCCCCAGCCAGCTCCAACCCGGGACCTGGGAAGTGCAGGCTTCTGGGGAGATGTCGCCCTCTACAACCCCAGGGCTGCTCAGCTCCAGAACGAAACCCCACTTCCTGCCATAAGGAGTCCAGCGTGGCTGTGGGACCAACGTCCATCCTACGGCCCACGCCAGCTCCACGCTCCAGCCCAGCATGAGGTCCGCAGTGACCCGGTCACCACAGGGCCTCGTGGCAGCTTCCTCAGACCAGAGGCCAAGGCTGGGGGGCCGCGCACGCAGCCACACAATGCTAGGCTGAGTGGCATGCTGCGGGCAGGAGTGGGACGAGGGGACAGCTTGAGGTGCAGCTGAGAACAAACTCAGTTTGGGCAAAAGGAAGGTAAAATGCTCACGAGCGGTGAAGCCCCTGTCCAGGATGCTTTCAAACTAGTAGATGAAAATCTCAAGGAGGAGGCGGACAAGCTGGGCGCAGGGTTTGGTCAGACTGGGCCCCAACCTTGACTCCAGGACACGCCCCTGGCACCCCGGGCACATGTACCTCCTCCAGAGGGTTAGATGGGAAAAAGCTGGCACCTGGAGGCTTGTTGACATCAGTGGGAGGCTTATTTCCAGTTTGAGCCTTGCCAGGACAAAGCCACTCCCCCAGCTTTGCCTTCAAACTCTACAACCACCTCAAAGCGTCTCCCTTTCTCATTTGCTAACTTCCACATACAGGCTGCCTTGTACTTTTCTGCACTAAGGTCTGTTCCTAAAAGGGCACAGCAGCCAGGCACGGTGGCTTACCCCTGGGATTCCAGCTATTAGGGAGGCTGAGGCAGGAGGAGCCCAAGTTCAAGGCCAGCCTGGACAACTCAGTGAGACCCTGTCCCAGAATAAAACTTTAAAAAGGGATGGGTATGGCTCAGTGGTGGTGTACTAACGCATGCGCAAGGCCTTGGGCTCCATTTCTAGTACTGTTATAAAAAAAACAAGAAAAGTGGCAGTAGTAGCACTGCTGAACATGGAAGCCCAAACAAAGCACAGCACAATGAGGAGGCAAACAAGGCTTTATTCCAAATCAGGGCTGGTCTGCCCCTCCCACCCAGGACAAACAAATAGGCTGCATCCCTGTGGCCCAAACCTCCAACGCCTTTCCAGAAATGCACTGTGAAGAGACCTACACGCCCAGACCAAGGGCTCCGAGGAGGGTCCCGGCAGCCTCTAGGCTGTGTGGCTCTGGCCTCGGGCTCTCTGCCCTGGGACAGCCCCACATGCCCACCCTGCTCCACCCTTTACCCAAATAGCTGCTCGTACAACCATGGAGGACGAGTTTTGCAGGGAGAGCCGCCCTCAACATGACGTCGACAGGACCAGCCTCCACCAGCCCATGCCACTGATCAACACCCCCACATGCTTTGTGGGGCCTCGTGCCACGAGTCACTGACACCCAGGCCTGTCAAACTCAACCTCAACTTCGCAAACCTGTGCCAGCCTGGGAGTGGACCACAGCCCAGGCCTGTGCCTGATGACATGGAACAGGGAAAGGAAGAACAACCAGAACCACTGCCCTGGGCTCAACCACAGTAAACCACCACAAAGCTATGGACCGCAGGACCACGAGACATGTCACCCCTTCACCCGACGGCCGGCACCCACACGTACTTTGACAGTGCTGAGGTCCATGGGGTGCTTGATGATGTCATGGTAATCATGCAGCTCCAGTGCCTCGGCGTCCACAGGCTTATAGAAGGGCCAGGCATAGGCAGCGTGCTTCTTAGACAACATCTCCCTGAGGATGCTGTCGCAGTGCCGCAGGTGTTCCGAGAGCTTGCCCTTCTTGCCTGCATGCTGTGGCACCTCACCGTCCTCCAGGTCCTTCTTGGGGGGCTTGATGGGACGGCCCCCGCTCTCCCGCCGGGCCACCACCTTGGCCTGCTTAGGGTCCGACAGAGGCAGGGGCGACTCGCTCCGGCTGGCAGTGATGGCAGAGGTGGTAGGTGTCGTCGTGTCTGCTTTCCGCTTCACGCCCTTCTTCTGCAACAGCAAAGCAACAGGTGAGCCTGAGGACCACAGACAATGACTCATGGCAGCCACGCATCCGGCCCAGTGGCCCCGGCGCCGCACTCGAAGGCCACATGCTAGGCCTCGCCTCATCTTTCAGCTGCCCCCACAGTAGAGGACCCCGAGGCTCAGAGGGGCTAGGTTGGTGGCCCCAGGTCACACAGCTGGCAGCGATGAGGCTGGGACTCTGAAGACCTCACCGAGCCCAGGGCCTCCGCATCAGCCTGAGCACATGGCTGTCTGTGTGGGCCACATACCAGGCCTGGTGGGGGCCCTCAGAGTGGCAAGCAGGCCACTGACTCTCGCGAGCCCCCAGGCCATAGAGGTAGGGAAGACCTGCTTTTAAAGACCAGCAGGGAGGAGCCAGGCAAGGCCCCCTAAACCCAACACAGGTCAAGCAGGGTGGGAAGGTGGAAGAGCATTCCAGGCTGGACACGCAGGGTGGCCCAGCCAGGAGACACGAAGCAGCCACAGCGGGTTTGAGGCTGGGGGACCCCAGGGACAGTGGGGTGGCCGCATCTCCACTTTGTCCTGCAGGCACAGTTAAATGAGGTGCTGCCCAGCCATCTGTGGTCGCCTGGGGCAGACAGAGCCAGAGCAGCTCCTGTCCCCAGGATCCCAAGCATGTGTCTCCCCGTGGCTCATAGGGGCCCAGGGCCCTGACCAGTTCAGCAGGCCTCGCTCACCAAGAGCTGCAGGGCCAGGTGACAGCACTGGGACCTACTGTCTAGAGCCCCCGCGGTTACTGCCCCAGCCAAACTGCCACCCTCAGGCTGGCAGGGGTATGAGCTGGCCACCCAGACACTTCCCGGGCACCCATGGGAGGCCAAGCACCAAGCACGTGCCACAGAGGGCCTGGGGAGGGAGGGGCAGGCTCATCCGGCCATGGCAAACGGGGCATGCTCCAAAAACCGCCCGTGCTATGGGAGGGGCCTGGCCAGGTGCCACCCGAGGTGCAGGCAGTGAAGGCCACGGGGAGGGGAGAGCGACGGAGGTTGGCGTTTTACCTTGGGCGAGCCATTTAACCCTGCGCCCGCTTCCTCATCTGTAAGAGGGGGGACTACTGTCTGCCCCAGAGAGTGGCTGTGGGGATCAAATTGGAGAAGATAACGCGCGTGAGTGCCCACATGGTCCCTCCTCGAAGCAGGAGGCTCCAGAGGCTCCGCAGGCCGGACCTTGCAGGGGCCCCCACTCCATGGCAGGCCCTCAAGCGAAGCTCCAGGGAACAGGGAGAGACACGCAGGCCCTGACCACGCTGGGCAGTGCCGCTGGCTATGCTGCCCTCTCCCGGGGTCATCAGGGGAAGACCTGTCCTTGCCAGCCCTCACTGCTGCCCACACCTTCCCCACCTGGACTGACGAGCTGCAAAAGCCAGAGCTGCCAGGCCAGAAAAGCCAGGGTTCAAGTCCAGCCCAGCCCTCACCAGCCGTGTGACCTGCAGCCCCGAGCCTCAGTCTCCTTGTCTGCAGAGAGAACCTGTCCAGACGTCAGCAGAGCCCCAGCCCCCCGATCCTGTTCAACTCAGGAACCTCATGGGTTGTGGACCCCTCAACCTCACCTGATGGCCATCTCAGCCTCACGGACGCTCACCTTGATAACGGGTGGCGTGGGAGGGACCACGGGGACGACGGGAGTCGAGGGAGGAGGTGCTGCGGCAGCCGGAGGGACAGGGACCGATGTGATGTTGGCGGTGATGGTTGATACAGGGGTGGCAGCAATGACAGGCGTCTGGGAGACCGTAGGGGGCACATTCTGGAAGGGGGCCGCTGGGGACAACGAGGACACAGCCGCCACTTGCTGCGTACCTTCAGGACAGACAGGGAGCTCAGCACAGCAGCCCCATCTCCACCTGCAGAAGTATCTAGGACCCCTCTCCTGCAGCCAGCCAAGGCCCTCTTTCCCAAGACCCGACCAGCCCTGCACCTGCGGAAGAGCTGGTCCTGCCATCTTGGCTGAGTGCTCCCCGTACCAAGGAGAGTCCAGCTCTGGACAGAGACCGGGACCTGGGAGAAGTCAGGGCTGGCCCTGGGTGAGCGGGGCTCAGACCTCCCCGGTACCAAGCTGGGTGCCTGGCTTCCTAAGCACATGGCTTGTGCCCACCACCTCCTGCCCAGGACACCACTGCTGGCCACACCGTCAGGCCAGGCCCAGGGCATACTCGACAGGGACACAGTCCTCTCAACCAGGGAGCAGAACGTGGGACTGTGACTCGCAGCTCACTGAAAACACAACAGAGGCAAGATTTGGAGGGGGGACAGGAAGATGAGCCAGTGCAAGGTCAGTGCCCGAGACCCCAGGCCAGCCGCCTCTCTGACACAGTCCACAGCCCACACGCAGCCACGACCTGGCACTGACAGCCTGGGACACAGCCTGGAGGGTCCAGGGACTCTACCCTGGCCACCCTGCCCACCACACCTGCCCTTTACCTGCACTCTGCGTCCCCGCAGCCGGTTTCCGGCCTTTGCCCTTCGGAGCAGGGGGTAACAATTCTACTTCCTCCTGGGGCATCTGGGCCACTTTCTGCAGAAAGATTTTCTCTAAGGCTTGGGCCATTAGCACTATATCATCTGTGGGCTGAAGACAGAGAGCCCGGGTCACTTGCTGGAAAGGAGCCACGCTGGCACAAGACATTGGGTGCTATAGCTCAAGAAAGCCTTTACTTAAAATTTGTGAGAGCTGATGGGGCAGGAGGAGCAAGACAAATACATTCCAATGAGGAAAATCCCAGGGAAAGACAGGCAAGCACGGAGAATAGAAACCAGGGGAGTGTAGCTCAGGTGAAGCACAGCCTAGCACGTGAGGTCCTGGGTTCCATCCAGAGGGAGAAGCCCAGACTCCATCCCATCACACAGAAAGAGCCTTCCTCAGCTCAGCACCCCCATCGTCTTTATTTCAGTCACGCCACTATTAAACAATACCAAGCCGAACTAGGTATGGTGGCGCACACCTGTAATCTCAGCACTCAGGAGGCTGAGGCAGGACGACCACCATGAGTTCAAGGTCAGTCTGGGGCTACACAGTGAGTTTCAGGCCAGCCTGACCTACATGGCAGGAACCTGTCTCAAAAACAAAAAACCCAAAAACCTAGGCTGGCTCAAACTTCCTCCTCTGCTCCCTTGCCAGGCACCTCCTGCCAGCAAGCTGGGCTCTGCCCTCTGCACTGGCTCCATAGGATTGCTAAGGGTGGCATTTTCAGGCCCGGGGTAAAGACATCTTACAGCCTGTGGACCATATCCAGGGCCCACCATGTGCAGCCAGATATCCAGGACCACTCTGACCCACTAGGCACCAGCCAGCCTCAAGCCACACCCAGCCAGGCCCACCCAAGGACCCGGGCCACACGCCTTGTATCTTCTTACCTTGTTATAAATATAACAATTTGTAAACATGGTGTTGAAGTCCTGCATACATTCACTCGCGCTCCAATAATAGTTATTTTCTAGTCTTTTTTTAATAGTCCCCATATCCATTGGGTTTTTTATTATTTTATGATAATCCTAGGAAAGAAACATTCAGGTGTTACCAGTGGGCTCCGTCATCACTCCGCGCATCTCGGCGTGGCGGTGGGGCGGGGGGACTGTGACCTGGCCCGGGCTACCTCTCTCATCCCCGTGAGGGGTGGAGCCAGGCAGGCCCCAGCTGTTCTAGGGCTCCGAGCCCTTGAGGAGCCAGGATCCACAGTGGGCTGGCCCCAGGCTCCTCGTGACTCTTTCCTGTTTGGGTCCAATCAAAACCTGGAGATGTGGGCACTGCTGCCAAGAAAACAGCCTTGGCGCGCTCGGTCCTGTCTGCCTGCCTGCCCTCGAGTGGGTCCTCTGCGCCCGCCCTCCCTGGCTTCTTCTATCCCTCTCCCAGTTTCCTGTCCTTGGTGTGGCCGCCCACTCTCCTGTACCCAGCACCCATCCCTCTACCCCGGGGTTGCTGACTATCCCAGCTGGACAACAGGCCCCCACCGCTCAGGCTGCCCTGGCCAAGGCCAGAGGGCCGTGCTCCAAGATGGGCCATTTGGGACGTGGGGCCACTCACGGGCAGGTTCAGCTTGACGGCGTCCACGGGCTGGTAGAAGGGCCAGGCAAATTGGTGCCTCCACAGCGTCTTCACCACCGCGTTCTGCATGTACTGCAGCTGGTTGGTCTTGCGGCCGGGCTTGCCAGGGTCGGACACCTCAGGTGGGGGCGGGTTCATGGGGCCTGGAGCTGCCAGGGCGCCCACAGGGGCGGCCGCTGCCGTGGACATCCTCCAGCAGCTGCTCACTGGCTGGCACGGCCACGGCTTACAGAGGCCCGGGAGTCTCCTGTGCTCCCGGAGGAGGCTCGGGCTTCCATGTCCGGGCCTGACCAGGCAGCACCTGCAGAGAGGGCCAGAGAAAGGCTGTCAGCTTGGAGCCCACCCTCACCTGCAGGGACACCACCAGGCCCCCGGGACACGTGGCGGTCACCTGTCACAGAGCAACCCCACACACTGGTGCCTGACAGAGAATTGGACGGTGGGGCAGTGGGGGCACAGCCACCGGTACCCAGGCCAACAGCACAGAGCAGACTCGGCTCACGGCCCACGGCGCCACCCACTTGGGGGAGGCCAAAGTGCTCCTGTCACACCCTCTGCTATCCCCAGCCGTGGACAATTAATGCAGAGAACTCCAACACAGAGCCACAAGATGGGCGGAACCAGCACAACCCCTATATTTGTGGACCATCACCCTGTACCGGGCACCATGCAAGGTTCTAAGGTAACCAGGAGAACGGCCAGGGTTTGTGATGGCGGTCAGCTGTGACACACCGGGCCCCGGCCAATCAGGACGGCAAGAGGGCCCAGACCCTGCAGGCATCCTGCCTATGTCCCCAAGCCCCAGGCTGTCTCTCAGACACTCTGGGGACCAGGGTTAGCCAGGAATGCCAGCCAGAGTTGAGTGGACTGCAGCAGTCCCGCAAGCACTCACAAAAGCCAGACCATCAGGAACACAGGAGGGCTGGATGGCAGAGCCCACATGTCACCCGTGCTCAGACCCTTGGTCTCCAGAGGCAGCAAAGGCCAGGACAGACTCTGAGCTGCACACAGGGACTCCTGGGGACACCTTAGCTATACCCAGGACCCCGTGCTACCATTTAGGTCCCACTGTGCTGTCTGTGACACCCAGATGAGCGGGGCTGCACCCTGAGGAGCTGGCTGCTACTTGCTGCTGGACCCAGCCACCTTTCAGACTGGCGAGAGCCAACAGAACAGTTAGAGTCCAGCACGAGAGCCAGCCGATGTGCTGCTGGCCCATGCACAGGGGTGAAGCGGGCATGGGGACTCCACAAATGGCAGCAGTGCCGCATACCAAGCCTCTTCTCCCCGGAGAGCCGGGTGTTACACACCTGTACCCACACTCAGCAGGTCCGGGCCTCCCCCGCATCTGCATCGGGTCCAGGAAGCACCCCCGATACAGGACTCACATTTAGCCTGCGCGGCTCCTGGTCCTCTCCAGGCAGGTGTGCAGGACCTGGGATGGTGGCTCCAGCTTGTGCCAGATGCCATAGGCTTAGTCCTCACCTCCAGACCAAAGGCTGCCTGGGTGCCAGCCTGGGTCACCCTTGGGGCCTTTTCCCAGCCCCAGCACCACCACCTCTGGGTGACACTGGTGACAACCAGGCCTGGCGATGCTGGACAATGTGGCAGCTCAAAACCTCCAGGGCTCTACCAGCTCCCTCACAACTGACAGTGGCCTGGGACCCTACTAAGCTTGAGCAGCACACAGCTGCAAAGCAGATGCCAGGGCAGCCCAGGCCCTGTGCCTCCAACTCCCTACAGGGCTCTGAAGCGACTGCGGCTGGGGGAACCTGGAGCCCAGGGGCAGCCAGCATATCAGGGCGTAGGACTTAGAGCCAGCTGCCTGCTGCACAGCCCAGGGAGCAGGGTACAGGGCAGAGACTGACCTGGGAGACAAGGGGCACCAGGAGGGGCTGGGGTGCAGGCCGGTGCCCCTTCCCCTCCCCAGTCCTGGGATGGAGACTAGGAGGGTGAGCTCAGTGGGGCTGGGGCAGGGTCCCAGGTAAGAGGCAGGGCTTTGCCCTAACTGACCAGGCCATGTCCCCATGGGATGCCACACAGGGAACTGGGGAGAGCAAGGCTACCCCCGAGGCAGGGCACAGAGGGTGGCTTCCAGAAAGGGGTGCTTCCACACAGCGTAATTCAGGCAGCTTGGCCCCAAGCTGAGCCAGGAGCAGACAAGGCAGAGACTCCAAGCAAGACAAAGGGCCTGGCATGGCCGTGCAATAGCCAGCGCACCCTCCCAGTGACTACACAGAGGCCAGGCACCTGCAGGTCACTAGCGCATGGCAGGACCATTATCCTCAGCAGACTCGGCTCCTGAATTGGGTGAGTTCGGTAGAACCAACCAGGGACCAGCAAGACACCCAGGCAACACTGTGGACAAACCACCATTCAGAAGACTCACGCCCACGGTGCAGGCCTCTCCGGCTCTGATTCTGGGGGAACAGAGGCACAAGGGTAGGGTGGGGCCCAGGACTGTGCATCTCCCCATCCTGGGCCCCATGAATGATGGGCAATCCCAGGACAAGAGGACCCAGGAAGCTGGTGAATGAGGACAGAGAAGCTCAGGATGCAGACGCGCGGCCATGGAGAGGGACATGGGTACCAGGCTGCAGAGCCCAGCCCCCACCAAGGGCCAGGGTTCTGAGCCTGAGTCTCATCTGTAAAAGAAACAGCTCATTAGGCATGGTGGTAGGAGGCTGAGACAGGAGGGCTGCAACTTTGAGGACTATGAGGAATCTCACTAACAAAGAATTTGTCTCAAAAGTTAAAAAGAACTGGGCTCTAGCTCAGGAGCAGAAATCCCCTGGGCTCAACCTTCAGCACTGCGAAGAAAAAAACAAATGAAAGACAGACACAGGAGGCCTGAGAGCTCGGTACGGCCATCATTCAGCAAGCGCCTCCCGTCACAGCCCACAGACAGACGCAGGCCAGAGTCCCAGGGCCACTGCTCACACCTGAAGGCATTTGTGGGGCGAAGGACACCCCGGCCAGGGGCTGGGTGACAACAGCCTGGGAGGGAGGGCAGGAGGTGTCCCCAGCTCACAGGGGGAGGACTCAGTGGGCCCAGGCATGAGTCTGACACTCATAGGTGTGCAGTACACCTCTGCCCCAAGCAAGCACGGCTGGTCTTTCTCCCAGCCTCAGAGAAGGGACCTGCAGCAAGGTGGGTGGGGGAACCTTCTGCACAGCCTGACTCCACCAACCCAGCACCCCCAGGCCTCCAGTGGCCACTGTCAGCCTCTCAGATCTCAGAACGCCAAACCAGGGCACAGGGCAGCCACGGCAGGTGGGGTGACCCAAATAAAGCAGGGTTCTGCAGAGTCTCAAAGCCCCACACCAGGCAGCCTGCCATCTGGCACAGTTGGTGTTACTGAGAGTCAGGAAGAACTTTCAACGCCAGGCCTGGGATGTGCAGGGCAGGGCCCTACATCCACACGCAGGCCTCAGACCACTCTGCTAGAAGGCTGGCAGGGGAGCGAATGGAGGACGCAGATCCCACACACTGATGCTTGAAAAGGAACGGTGTTGTAGCTGGACGTTCTGAAATGTCCTCTTTTACATGACATCCTCAGAGTTCCAGAGACTGCCGTGCCTGGATCTTGCTGCTAGTAAGGGGGAGGTTGAAAGCAAGGGGGGCCCAGGCAAAGCGGCTTGGTACCCTATGGTGGGCCACACCTGAAGCTCGTAGCACCTGGGGAAGAGGGCGCTGCCCACACACCCAGCAGCTTCAAGACCTGGGGACCAGGACCTTGCTCCCTCTGGGAAGTCGGATGGACGCAGGCAGGGTCCACTGGAGGGGAGGTGGACAGACAGGGCTGCAAGTCCAGACACAGGACTCTTGTGCCTGTGAACCACAGATCTCCACTGCACCCGCCACTTCCAGGGGAATGAGGGGTCTCCTTGCTCCTTCCCCAGAGTAGCAGAGGAAAGGGTAAAACCCAGGGCAATGACGTCCTACGTGCACAGTTTGCCCAGCTCACTCTTTCACACCACCACTCAGCCCCAGACAGCCCAGCCAGCCCAGGCACAGCAGGAAAGTGAGGCTCTGAGACCCTCCCTGAAGCCCACCACCTGGCCTCCTGTTCAGCAGATGGCCAACTAAGCAGCCCATGCTGTGGGCCCATGGGCCCAACAGAGGCAGGGAGGCCGTGGTGCGCAGGTAGGTGGAAGGAGCTGCCTTCGACGGAAGCCTCTAAATACCCAGGGCAGAACTCATAGAAACCAGTCCTTGAGCAGAGCGGGGTGGCACCCAGTCAGTGGCGAGATCTCCAGCAGCACCCACATAGCCCCTAACTGTGCCACCAGCACCACGCCTGCCACAACCCCCCATCCAGCAGAGGCCTGCAGGAGGGGCCCAGCACAGGCTGGACCATGCTAGATAGAGCACAAGCCCAGATCCTCACTGGTGGCCTTGGGCAGGCTGACTCCCCGCCCCTCCCCAGGTCTGGGGCCTCACCTTTCTCCTCTACAGAACAAGGAGGACCTAAAGGACAAGCAGGCACCCAGCCCCAATGGCTCAGCTAGCCCAGAGGGACATAGCAGTAGAGGCGAGGGCTACTTTAGGAGCCTGGAGAGCCAGGGGAGGGTGCAGGGACCCGTGTGGCTGTCACTCTGGGAACACCCAGAAAGATGGGCAGTAACCCTGCCACCTCTCAAGCCATGGCACCCAGCCCTTCCTGCAGACCCTGACGGCAGCACCACAGCCAGGCTCCATGGAGGACAAGGACAGCAGGTGCTCCTCCCCCGCTAGACCCTGGGTCAGTCTGGGCAGGGGCAGGTGCCCAACAGCGGAGGCATTACTGGTCTGGTCTGGCCCCAGAGCAGGAAGCCATTCTTGGGGCCTAATGAGGAAGGAGTCTCCACTTCCAGGAAAAGCCAAGCCAGGACAGCTGTTGGGAAGGCCAGCCCAACTCCACAGGGACCCGCAAGCCTGGGCAGCTGAGCCGGCCTGGTAGCCAGGAGAACAGGGTGGGTAGTGACAGCACAGGCCAGACGCCAGAGGGTGCTAGCAGCACCACAAGGAAAGGAAGCAGCGGAGGTAGAAGAAAGGCCGGGTGCCCAACTCAAGACAGACCTGGAGGCAGCCGTGAGCTCCCCTGCCCGCCACCCGTGCTGCTTAAGTCCACCGTCAGCCATGGATACCTTCAACAAGGTGGTCTCCTGGGGTGGCAGGCCCAGGCCTCGCTCTCCCCACACACCTGGGGTGTCACTGTACCCCAAGGACTCATACACCAGAGACCTCTATAATCCTGAATCTCCCACCCCAGGGGTGCTGGATCCAGTGGGTACCCCTTTACCCTGGACCTCTGTGACCCTCAGGGTCTCAGCACCACTGAAAGGCCCCACATCGGATCTGCTTTCCAGATGGGGAGGAGGGCTCTGAGGAGAGGGGCAGGCACGCAGCCAGCCAGCCAAGAGGAGCCACAGACAGGCTTGAACAGGGCTGTCCAGCACCCTGCCTGGATAGGTCCTGTCACCATGCTACAGTGCTCTGGCCTGGCACATGAGGCCCAGGGGCGGCCACTCTAGGCCAGACCCCAGGCCTGGAAACCAGACAAGAACAGGAGGCTCCACTGACAGACAGAGCCAACTGCTTCCTTCTGTGCAGCCATGAGGAACAGGGGTCTGGGGCCCCAGGGCGGGGCAGACAGGCGCATGGGCGGGGACCCCAGGCTCTGCAGCCAGGGCACCCAAGCTGGCCCTGGCTTAGGCCACACCCACCGCAGCTGCTGCCCAACCATGCCTGGCAGGAGCACTAGCTCCAACAGGCCCATCCTCCCATGCAGGGCATACCGCTGTTCACGCTCACCTGTACCCCTCACCTCTACAAGGCACCACACCACGGCTCTTGACACCCCCAAGGCAAGCAAACAGACACAAAAAGACCCTCCACAACTGAGGCCAGGTATGCGGGAGCACACCTGAAATCCCAGCTCTCTGGGAGACTGAGGCAGGAGGATCACCAGTTCAAGCCCACCCCACCCCACCCCGCCACCACTCAGTGAGAGCCTGCCTCAAAATTTAAAAATGAGCCAGGAATGCAGCTCAGTGGAAAGACCCTGGGTTCCATCTCCAGTGTCACACCCCACAAAGGGCACTTTTGGCTTGTGTTCCTGCGGGCTGAGAGACACCTGCACACTTAATGGCAAACCTCATTCTGGGGCCAAGAGCACCTCGGCTGCTGTGCCACAGCCACACCACAGGGACAGAGTAGAGGGAAACACCACCGAGAAAGGGAGGGGCGCTGTCCCTGGGCCAGGTGGCCCAGCAGCTCTGAGCACCAGAGCTCTTTCTGAAGCATGGCACCGTCTATCGGCCATGCTCCCCATGGGCAGCTGACGAGAGCCCAAGTCAAGGCCCTGCTTTACAGCCAGGTAAGCCAGGCCATCATCCCGTCTGACAGGTAGAAAGCAAGGCTGAGACAGGAACATCTCAAGCAGAGAGGCCTCAGAGGGCCAGAAACGCAGGGCCACCACTTTACCCTGGCCAGCTGCCAAAGGCTGGCCGGCCCATCCTGTCCTCACTCTGTCGCCTCAAGACAGGCCCAGGCAGAACTAAGAACTGGGAACACAGCCCATAGCCCACAGCGCCCGGTGCACACACCTGCCCTGGCACAGGTGGGCACCAGTGAGGGCCTGGTCAGTCCCCCAGGCTCTGTGAGGGGTAAAGCAGCAGCAGGGATGGGGACCATCAGGCCACATTGCCCAAGGATGCAGCCCCTGTGCCACTCACGACTCACATGTCCCCTGCATCGGGCAGCATGAGCAACAACAGGATGAGCGAGCACCACAGGCAGAATGCAGTCACTCCCCAGGTGCACAGCCCCCAGGAGGACTGAGCCCCGCTCCTCGGGATGGTTGGTACTGTGACCCCCCCCCCCCCGGGCTCCAGACTACAGGCCACATCAGGGTCGCCCTCCTCAGTTTATACAAGGCACCTGGATGTCACCTCCGAAACACCAAGCCCAGTGCCTGGCCACACTGGGGTGTGGTGGCAGAAGCCCCTCCCCACACCCTGTCAGCTCCTGATGGGCTCAGCTGGGGGCTGGGGCCTGGGACCAGAAGGGGCTTTCTGTGGTGCACTTGCGACTCCAGGTTGTCGAGGCCTGGCCACAGGTACGCACTGATGACGACAGCTCCAAAATAACCGGCCAAGTGCTCTGGCACACACTGCACAGGTCACCGGGTGGGCAGGCGCAGGCCCCCACAGCTTCACTGTGAGCATGGTCTAGACTGGACCAGGGGATCTGTTCACTTCTGAGGAATGGGGGGATGCTCTGTCCCCTTGGGGGAGCCCCCCCAGTCCTGGGCCACCCCACCGTCACCAAGATGTGGATGTTGAGAAAGCTGTGCCCTCCAGTCAGACTCCTACTTTGGGCTCATCACTCAGGATAGCAACCATCACACACACACACACACACACACACACACACACACACATCACTCAGGATAGCAACCATC